TTGTTCATATACTTTATTTATTACCTGGAGATGACTTGACAAACCATATTGTCGCAATCGTATGTTTAATGTCTTCATGTTTCCAAACGTTTCTGTTTTTCTGAAAACAACTGTTTTCATACAGTGATAGCTGGACGCTTTTGTCCATATTAGGAATTTCCTCATACGACTTTCTGCGCGAGAGTGCCCTCCGGCTTCGAGTATGAATGAAACATACACTGCATGAGTGTTTAGCGCTCCGCGATGTTAATCTCGCCTTATTCTGGGTCCGAATAAAACATCAGTCATGCACAGACTATCCTGTCTCTTTGAATTTAAATCTATATTTATTCACACCGGCTCCTGAAAACCTCTATGCGAACACACTTGCCCGAAAAAGTGCGGGGGGACGAATTTACGTGATATTAAAAGTGGGGGGACACGTCCCCCACGTAATCTACGCCCCTGTATATATATATATATATATATATATATATATATATATATATATATATATATATATATATAGAGTTTTTTAATCTTTTTTATATTGTTATATTTTTTTTTTATATTTTTTGTTTTATTTTTTTTTTATATTCACACACACACATTATGACACAAAGTTCAATAAAATTATGTTTGAAGAAAAATAATTTTTTTAGCTACGTAATATATATAATGTATTACATTATGCATGATAAAATATAAAGATTTCACTGTGATTTGATTCTGTAAAGTTTTTTTTTTTGGTTACTACAACATTACTGTAATAAATCAGCAATCATAATTTCATAGAAATATATTTGACCTAGGTGACGAGGATCACTCGTCAACTCAAATGCAGTTACGGGGTTTTTGACCAGTGAATGTGTGCAAATGTGCATTTCGTCCGTCATTAAAACGGCGGCGTTAGGTTTTCATCACCAGGTGTTTGTTGTAGCTATATGGGCGTGGCGCTCAGTTTCAAATACATAAATGATGAGCCTTTGTAGACAGTGTTTCTTGCTAAAGAAAACGCTGTACTTATTCAAACAACAAGATCTTTATTTACCCTTGCAGACCTAGTTCAGCTGCTGTGGAACTTCAGTTCATTCAGTCAAGATAGAGGGGGTGGAGTTATGAGGTTTACTGACAGTTTGAGCGGATCCAACTAGATTTAGTCACAAGCTCTTTTTTATACCTTTCATTAGCTAAATATTTGTAAAGCAGACAGACAGATGTAAAGGGTGACCAATATCATTGATTTATTGAAGGAAAAAAAAAACCACCATCACCAAAAAAAGGGCACTTCGAAGTGTAAGGGCAAAAAGGGCATGTGCTCTGCACAGGTTGAGCCCTACCTGTGCACGTGCCTGGTGTGAAACATGCTCATGCTATGCTAAATTTTAGGCACGCATCGATTTATAATGTAAAATAAATAAGTAAATACATAAATGCTATAATATATATATATATATATATATATATATATATATATATATATATATATATATATATATATATATAATAATCTGACATTATACATCACAATGTAAACTTACTGTATACATATATGACAAAAAGTGAGATTCTCATAATACTGACTTTATCTCAAAGTATGACTATACTGTATGTACTGTAAAAATTTGACCTTTTATCTCACAATTATAATTATTATTATTTTAACTCTAGGGCAGAAATAGGCTTCCATTCAAATGCATGGCTTTTGTTCTTTGGAGAAAAAAAAGGTCCATTAATGCACCACAAAACTCTGCTTTTGTAGGGAATAGTATACATTTCTATGTCTCCACATCCCAAGTTTTACATCTAGCTTTGGAAAAGCCCTTCAACTGTTACTGTGCGAGATAAAATAATATTTCCCATAGAAAATTATGTCATCCCTTCTTCAATTGCACTGACTTCAAACTGTTTCCACATCACAGAATGAAATGTACAAGTTTTAGCATTTTCTTCAGTATTCCCAAGATAGCTGGCACTAACAGGGCACTAGGCTGACAAGAACTGACTTTTGGCTTTATTGTATGAAGAACAAGATACATCTCCCTTATGATACTGGAGACTTTGGCAGTATGAATTTAGTTTGCCAGGAGTCACAACAAATTTGTAGCAGGCAAATTTGGCTAAAGCATTGGGAGAAAAGCATTTTCGCTTTCATTAGGCACCCTGTGCCTCCAGGGCTCACAGAGCCTGGTCTATCCTCCCTCCCCTCTAAAACACACTCTCTCTCGCTCATTCTCTCCCTTTCCCTCTCTTCTTCCCTGTCACATTGCTTCCTGCTGCGGCTCAGCCAATCAGAAAGAAAGGGGTGTGGCCTCTAGTCTCAGTTGGACAGAGCTTGTTGAAAAGAAAGAGATGCTTTCCTGAAAGACTTGGAGTAGCTCTCCTCTGCGCGAGGCTCACCGTTTTGGGGCTTGGCAGTGAGTGATGACTAAAGCACGGGAAGCTCAAGTCTAGCTCTAGCAATCTGGCACACACCCACTAAAAAACACAGAGAAAGAGAGAGAGAGACAGTGGATGTCACAAATGAACCGCGGCAGGTGCAGTTTTTCTACTTGGAAGAAGCTGAATAATGCAAATTAGTTGAAAGGAGAGACCAGCTTCGTATGGATTTATCTGTCTGATTGTAATCTGATGTGATCCTACTTGTTTTGGAAGATCACACATTGTTTAAGAGGATCCGAATTGCTTCTATCCTGCTTGGACAAAAATTTAATTTCTGGGACTTTGCATTCTAAAAGAACTGGTCTTAAAGTTTCTGCATACAGTTTTTAAATCTTCAATCAAGAAAAAAGAAACGAATGGCTATTTGAAACATTTTAACTGCATCCATAAAGGGTGCACTTAGCGCACTCTCTTCGGAGCATCAGTACTATGCCTGGATTACCCTTTTGACAGCCCTGTGAACCCGTGTGAAATCACCGCGGAGGAGCTACGGCAGGGGGCCGAGCGGGTGGGAGCTGCATTCCTCTACTTGAGACCGAACTGAGAATCCAACATCCTGACTGCCGCCACAAGCCGATCGGATACAAAACTATAGGGACAGGAGTGGAACCACCCTTCACGGTCTGGGTGAGTACTCTGTCACAGTTCACTGGACACTCAATCTATATTGGGTTAAACCACTTCACTGTGCTCATCTTGTAGTATCGGAATCATCTCCTGACTTAAATGTTACAGCTTTTATGGGGTCTTATATCGGTTGAGTTACTGGTTTTTCCCATCTGATTATGGATAGCTGCAGTGTCAGTCAACAATGTCAGCTTAACATAAGAAGCAGGTATTCCCAAAAAAAGGATACAGTTGGTTGGTCTCATTTAGATGTAAACATTAGTTCTATTTAACTTTGATCAAAGAATGTATGTATGCAGTTAATTCAAAGTATTTTGGAATGCCAATTGTATATGTGATGATGAGCTCAATATTGCCGTTTTGACTAGTGTAGACAGTTCTACAGGGCATTGCCTCTATCTCATTAAACTGGATTTAATTTCATCCCACAATGCTTTCTCGAACTAAATCTAGAGCTTGCCCCAAGAGTTTCCAGTTCCTTGCACAATGACAATAACCCAGAGGGGTGCTCTCAAAACAAGTAAGAAGTCCTTAACTCCCTTTGCAAACTTTCTCCTCACGTTGAAGCTTTTGAACATAATACAGAAAAAAAACATGAACAGCAACAGAGAGCTAAAACAAAACCGCCCCACAGCGGCAGTGACTCACGGGATGGCTTCCTCACAGTTTGGTTTGGATGTCTGCCTGGACTCCATAAGGAACCCGCAAAAGAACCCAATTCCTTGATTTCTTGGGCGTGTGGGTTCTGTATTTTACACTAGACCGAGGGGTTAAAGCTGGACTGCATTGTCTTACATGTGTACATTAATCCTCTTTTCTCACTCTGGCAGCGGCAGAGCAGAAGCATGCTGACATTTCCACTGTTGTAGGATAATATTTAATGCCCTTTCTGTCAAAATACAAAGCAGCTTGCTTTTTAATCTGTTGCAGAACTATTTAAACTGTCCATGGTCTCTCTCTCCCTTCACTCACTCTCGCTTTCTCAGCGTCTTAACCGTAGGTTTCAATACAAATTATTTTGGAAAAGCTGATTACTGGTGTGGTTTTGCTGTCTACACAACAAACCCACCAGGCCATCTTTCTGTGGGAAGAATAGCATTTTAATCCACATTATTCAGCAGTGCCAGAGATTGTATTGTACGCTTACACCTACCCGATAGTTAGCCATTGACTATTTCGTCACAACAAGCAATCAGAAAACAATGGGCCACCTCCATTCAACAAAAATTAAACTGTTTGGAGACAAGCATATAGGCTGACAGCACTTATGCAGCACTTTTCATGCTTAACGTTGCCTATAGAGGGAGCAATTCTCTTGTAACAAGCAACCTGCAACCACATCCAACAGAATCATAGTCAGAATGGCTAGACAGAATGCAAAAAGAGGAGATGACCACTCGATTATCAGTTTACAATATTGATTTGTTATTGGAGATGTCTATCCATTCGGTCTGACATCCAAACATGATCGATTTCCACTGATACTGTCAAGGGAGATTTTATCTATGTAAGGTGAGCAGAAGATGCTGACTATTTCTTCATCTGCGATATGCAGGCCTAAGTTATTGGGATGCAAGCCCATGACGTTTCCCCAGTGCACATTCTCTCCTGCTTACCAAGAAGCCCTCTGAGCTTTTTGAAGTGTTAAAGTGGAAGAAGAACACAAAACTCCATTTCCAGTCCCGGAGGGGACGCTGATGTGTGCTGTCTGTGTATATGTGCCGTCATTTGCTCTAAAAGAAATATCGATCTTCCCAAGCAATATTCACCATCTCAGAGGAAAAACGAATGTAAAGTGGATTCAAACTATACAGTGTATGTTCACTGAAATGGAAATATAAAAACATAACAGTAGTCAGAGAATTTATCACTAAGAAAAGGCACTTCACAAAGGCAGAAATGGATGTAAAGGTTATATTGTGAGCGTACATATACATATATATATATATATATACACATATATATATATATATATATATATACACACACACACAAAGGGTCTGAATACTTAGGACCATGTGATATTTCAGTTTTTCTTTTTTAATAAATCTGCAAAAATGTCAACAATTCTGTGTTTTTCTGTCAATATGGGGTGCTGTGTGTACATTAATGAGGAAAAAAGTTAACTTAAATGATTTTAGCAAATGGCTGCAATATAACAAAGAGTGAAAAATTTAAGGGGGTCTGAATACTTTCCGTACCCACTGTATATTTATATATATGTATATACACACACACACACACACACACACACACACACACACACACATATATATATAAGGTTTGCAGCAGACTAAAATTAAATCTTTCAGTTTATATGTAAAGCCACTTGCCATTTTTTCAGTATGTGCCAGCTTAATAATATGCTCCCTCTGCTTTTATCAAATAGATTTTTTTGTGCAAGCAACTCATTTTATCCAACTGCTGCTGAGAAAAATTTGAGAAAAATTAAGGCCTTAAGTTGACTGCACTCCCACACATATACATACATAAATAGTGATGGGCAAAATAGAGAACACTAAAGATTTATGTGAGTTGTACTGCAATTAGCAGATAATCATTTGGGAAATATTCTGGCTTTAAAAAAATTTAAATTCATACAAGTGCATAATGAAAATGAATTCTGATGTCTGGTTATCTTGCTCATCACTTCTGTTGCTATCAACTCTGAAAGTGTCATTTGCTTGGCTCATTAGCATGCATAATTACATGCAAAATTCTAAATAACCAAGAAATGACTTCTATAGCCTGAGCTCCTTTGAACTTACTTGTGTGTGTCATGTAGACACGGTGCAGAACTGTGGGGGGGGGGGGGGGGGCCACTGTATGTCTAACAGTAATTTGTATATATTGTAAATCCATCTATCTGCACATTCCAGTTTATACTTTTCTTCTTTTTTAATTTATACCTTAATTTTTCATTTTTGTAACAGAGTGGTCATAAATAAGGATTTCACTGCATGTCATTCTATGTGTGGTTATGTATGTGACAAATAAAATTTGAATTTAAAAGTAATATGAGAAAATCTTCCTGGAAAGAACCATACAGAAATAAACAAACAAACAAATAAAACAAAATGAATTACTCTCGTTTGCTTTTCTTAAATCAGGATCTAAAAAGGTACTGTTGGAAAGGAGGTTATATCTGGTTTCATTTAAGGTCAAACTCTGACTTGGACCACTCATAGTTTAGTTGTGACTGCAGTGGAGTCATTCAGGTTCCTGGGCACCACAATCGCTCAGGACCTGAAGTGGGACACTCACAT